TAGAGTAGGCAAGTAGCAGTTAATTTTGTGACCCGTATATGTGACTCCATGCGTACACTAAGGCCGACTCGGCTATGTATTAGTGAGCAGGATGCATTATCTTGCCTTTGCCTCTTGACCTTCTGAGAATGACCATGTACTTCCTTGGCACTTTTGTTTGTTTGTTTGTTTCCAAACAGCCAGAAAGCTGAAAACTAGCATTTCCTGCTCCCACCTTAGCTCCTCCCCCACCCCTCAACAGCTGATGGCCAGTCTTGTTCGGTAATAGTCAACATAAACAGGTGGTAATATTTCCGCCAGTTGTTTGTTCCCTTTCTCTAACTGCTCAGCATCTGCTGGGCTAAAACAACGCCTGGATAATCTTCGCCTAAGAGTGGGGAAATTGAAGTATTGCTTGGTGGAAAAGCTCATAGCTGCTTCCTGCCCTCTGAAAGAATTTCCTGCCTTGCAACTGAAAGTTCCAAGTCACGGGCTTTTTCTTTGTTCTATTTATTTACCTTGTGACACATAGCCTGCACTCAGAAATATATTTTACAATATCTAGAGAAACAAACACTAGCTCACATGCAGGCTCATGAAAGAGATCAGGATTGCAAATTAGGAAGCTCAGGTGAAAATGTTAGTGTACATCCTCTCATCCCGAAACCATTGACAGTTTAGTTTCCATGGAAATGTGTGTCTACAGGGAGAAATTTTTGCCAGAGGTAGAAATGTAATTTCTCTTAGCCTAGAAAAATGCAGAAAGAAGGAGCCATGAAGAAACAGGAATGGCGTTGGGAAATTAAGAGCAGGGCCAACGCAAATTGTCCAGATAGAAGGATTTTTGTAAACCACCTGCAACACTGGAGCAGTGGGAAGAGGCCTTAGCTGTTCAGGTGAGAATATATAAGACAGTGGGATAGCAGTGGTCTCTCGTTTGAGTCTCAGACACTACCTGACACTTAAGAGTCAGAGTTCTGTGTAATCAGCTCCTGTGTTCTCCATTTCACCTCAGTTCACTGTTTGCGACTACAAAAGTGTTTATAAAACATGGCTTCTGCCCTCAGGGGTGACAGTCTAGTGGGAAAGACAGACATGTGCCTAAGTGATTCTAACAGGGCACCTTGTATTAAGAGCTTTAATAGAGGTAAATAATTTTTGGAGAGTGAAAAAATTGCTTGCTCTCAACTGACAAGAGATGGTTTTTCCATAATTGCAAGAGGGTTTGCAATGGGGAATAGATCTGAGTCTTGGGGGATCAGCATCTTAACTAATAAGGACTTTTTCTGAAATGTAAATGAAATATAAAAGTCTAGACTGATAACCATTGGAGTTTTTCTATAGAGGTTGGGGAAGCTGGAAGTTAAGAGTAGTTAGATTAATTGTAGTTTAGACAAATGGTTTTTCAAAGTGCGCTTTTTGACTTAATAGGCCATTAATTCAATAAGTGGGTCAAAAACTTTTTTCCATTAAATTGAAGAGAAAGTATCAGAATACACCATACGTAGTAAGGGAAGGTATTACTTTGTGAAACTTTTGTTTCCACTTTTAGTATGCACACATGTGCTGGGTTACAATGTAAAATGTATTTTTTACACTTGGATCACAATGAAAATAGTCAATAACTGTTTCACTACCTCTGCAGTTGGATGGAATTGCTGGGTTCAAGTTTGGGCTCTGCGGTTTTCTACTTGTATGACCTTAGGCAAGTTGCTTAAACCATTCTGTAGCTCAGTTTTCTCATCTGTAACATGGATATTTCTAGTTTCTATTGAGTAGAGTTTTTATATGGATTAAATTAGTTAATCCATGTAAAACACTTAGAATAGTACCTGTCACAGAATAGATACCTAAATATTAGCTCTTATAATGTACGAAAGACTCAAGGGAAAGGAGAACAATTAGACACATACTATAGGCCAAGCACTCTGCTCTGCTTTTTATATAAATTATGTCATTTAATTCCTACCACAACCTTATAGAGTAGGACTACTATACCCATTTTACAGATAAGTAAATTAAGACTCAAAGATGGTAAGCAACTTGCACAGTTATACAACTGGGAAGGGGCAAAGAAAGGGTTTATACCCAGGTAATTATGACTCCACATTCCACTATTTCCATACTGTCTTCGAGATATTCAATAAGACTGACATGAGTTCAAAGCAGCGGCATAGTACGGTGGGTCTGAGAACCAGAATTAGACCTAATCATTCAACAATATTTGTTGAATGTGTTTATCGTGTCAGGAGATATTCTAGGTCCTTGTGCCCATGGAGCTTATATTCTGCTGGGGGAAAAGAGACTATAAACAAGTAACCTAACAAACTCAGCTACTTGCCAAGACTTGCCAAGACTTGCCAAGACGAGATGCAATGATACAAACTAGTGTAGTTTGTATCTTTTTACTCTGAAAAAAGTAACATTTGAAGACAGACCAAATTGATCCAAAGGAGCCAGCACTGTGAGGAAATAGAAAGGCCACAGTCCTGAAGCAGGACTGAGCCCTGGGGTTTCAAGGAGGAGAAAAAAGCTGGTGAGGTGGGAGCAGAGTAAATGAGAGGTTGAGTGGCTTTGAGGTTGCCAGGTAGGCAATAAGGAGATCATGCAGAGCCTTGTAAGAGGCGGTGAGGAGTTTAAATTGTATTATAAGTGTAATGTGAAGCGAGTTCTACCCAAGTAAGCAACAAGATCTGATTCAGATTGTGAGAGGATCGCTCTGGATGCTGTGTAGAGAATTGTGGGGAGGCGAGAGAGAAATCAGACCAATTAGAAGGTTGACACAGGAGTCCAAGTGAGAAGTGACAGTAGTTTGGCTTGGAGTGGTGGCAGTGGAGACAGACAAGAGCAGATGAATTCAGGATATATTTTGGAAGTATAATAGACAGAAGTTGCTGAGGGGTTAGGTGTGGAGAATGAAAGAAAGAGAATCAAGAATGACTCCTAGGATTTTTGGCTTGAGCAGCTGTGTGGTGAATCTCAGGTGCTGTTGCCTGTGATGCACAGACTTAGGAAACATGGCGGAGGAAAAAGCAAGAATTCTGTTTTGGACTTGCTAAATCTGAGCTTCAACCAGGAGAGTAACACCTGGGCAAGACACATCTCTCTGCGATCTGTTAAAATGTTCCTTTCAGCTCTTAAATTCTGTGGTTCCGTGAGATTCTAACTTCAGCTCAGTGTTTGCTAACATTCCTTCCGTCCTCAGCACGTGCACACACACAGATAAATCTGGTTACTCAAGCTCTTCGTTGAACTATGAAATTAAGGAATGGTCTGCTTTTTAATTCTTCAAGCTCCTTAGGAAAAGAATTTTTAAAATCTTCCATCTGCATTTGTTTAAGATTGGCATAAAGCAGCTGGATGTTCCAGGATATACAAGTCATACCATAACCTGATGGTTAGAAAATCCTAGGGCAAGTAATGGAAAGCGTCTGCTTGAAGGAGACTGGCCGAAAATAGACTTGGCATCGTTAAAAGAAGGGTAATATGAGAAGACATCAGCGATACAGCCAAAAGGTTTATGGACTCAGCAAATGGGTTCCTGCTAGGGGTGCTTTTGCTATCTTCAAGGATAGAAATTAACTAAAGGCAGCTGGGTCCAGGCAGTGGAATGTAAAATTATAACCTTCTATTTTTCTTGGGGCTGGTGGATTTTTTAAGTGAACTTCTATTTATCAAAAGAAGTTCTTGTTTTTAAGGAGAAACTAATGTGGTCATTACAGTTTTACTCATCCCTCAGGAAAGTGAATATTTTAAATATATTCATTCATTCAAACATTTTCCAAGTATTTACTATGTGTTTTGGGTGTAAAATTGAGGACACCCCTCTCCTCAAGAAGCTCACAGTATAACAAAGAATAAACACAAAAGCTAACTACAATAGGATCTGATAAATTATCAAACAGCTGTAAGCAAAGTATTCTGGAAAATACAAAGGAAGGATTCAGTGCCTATGCTTGGAGGAGATCAAAAGAGGGCTTTACCAGGATAACATTTTGAGCTAGGCCTGAAAAAAAGAGTAGTTCTTTAAAAGAAGGTAAAAATAGACCTGACTATATGAGTGCATTTTTGGTATACTCGAGTAATTTAATGTGACTGGAACACAGGTTGTATCCAGGGTATTGATAAAAAACAAAGATAGTGAGGTTTGTTGAAAATGGATTATAGGGCCGGCCCCGAGGCTTAGCGGTTGGGTGCGCACGCTCCGCTGCTGGCGGCCTGGGTTCGAATCCCGGGTGCGCACCGACGCACCGCTTCTCTGGCCATGCTGAGGCTGCGTCCCACGTACAGCAACTAGAAGGATGTGCATCTATGACATACAACTATCTACTGGGGCTTTGGGGGGAAATAAATAAATAAATAAAATCTTTTTTTAAAAAAAAAAAGAAAGAAAATGGATTATAGATGGGCCTTGAATGCCATGCTAAGGGATTCAGCTTTTATTTTGCAGCCAGGGGGAAGGTATCAGGGCTCTTTTTGCAAGGCAGTGACATGAGATGAAGAAAAACTAGACCAGAGGCTCTTAGCATTGTTTCTGCCATGAACCCTTTTGGCAATCTGATGAAACCATGGACCCTCCTCAGAATAATGTTTTAAGTGCTGAAAATAAAATACATAGGATTACAAAGGAAATCAACTATATTGATATATAGCTATCAAAATATTAAAAATGAATTACATAGGAACATTTCTGTTTCTTAATAAAGGATTAAATAACATAATCTAGCAGGAGCTCTAAAAACTATCATAATTTTCAAGTAGGAATGACCATAGGGGCCAGCCCCATGGTGTAGCGGTTAAGTGCGCACGCTCTGCTGCTGGTGGCCCAGGTTCGGATCCCAGGTGTGTACCGATGCACCACTCATCAGGCCATGCTGTGGCAGTGTCCCACATAAAGTGGAGGAACATTGGCACGGATGTTAGCTCAGGGCCAGTCTTCCTCAGCAAAAAGAGGAGGATTGGCATGGATGTTAGCTCAGGGCTGATCTTCCTCACAAAAAAAAAAAAAAAAAAAGGAATGACCATAAGTGATATTGCAACATCTGCAACAGCTGTCATGTGATGTAAAAATATCTGTGATTCTGTTGGTAGCAAAGTCACAGGTCCTGCCAATACCACTGGGGTTTGTTACCGACATTTACAATCAAAGGAAGTGCCAAATTTCAGTTAGAGGTTTATGAAAATCAAGATGTAAGTCTTTTTTTCATCCGTGTTTGCAGTCCTTAGTCCTTGCTGGACTCCTGAATTCAAGGCAATGTGGAGATAGACTGGTTAGGAGACTGTTAAAATAGTCAGGACAGGAAGTAAGAAGAGCCTCTAGTGGGTGTGGTGAAGGAGCAGATTGGAGAAACATTGGAAATTTGTCTTGGTTTCTCTCAACCCACAATGAGAAATTCCTCAAGGAGGAATTTTAGGATAACGTGTGGTCTAGCCAGGCAGGTTCACCAGGAAGGCAGCGCAAACCCTTTAAAAGGCTGTCCATATTGCAGTATAGTTTCATTAACTTGTTCAACTAATATTTACTACCGTCTGTAGCAGGCATGAGGAATACAGCAGAACAGACAGGGTTCTTGCTTTCATGGAGCCTACTGTCTGGTGGAAGAAACATGATTAAACAAAGCTAAAGAGATAGAATATTACCATTTGGGATCAAATGCAGGAAAAGAGTGGCAATATTCTGGAGCACGTTGGCAGGGAGTAGGGACCTGTTTTACATTGTGGGGTCTGGAAAGGTCCCTCCAAGGAAGTGACAGTAAGAGGAGATTTGGAAAACGAGTAGGACTTAGGTAAAGAGTAGGAAAAGAATATGAAGGCCAGCTTTTGTTGCTGCTTTAGAGGAACTGAATGAAAATCAGAAAAGCTAGGAAAGAGGCAGATAGGAGTTAGACCGTGTGAGGTCTCTGGCCATCCTAAGGATCTGGGATATTAAGTGCAGGGCAAAACCATTGAAGGTTTCAAAGAGGGAAGTGATATGTGGTTTTCAAAAATTCTGCTGGCTGCTCTCTGAAGAGAGGGTTGTGGGGAGCAAACATTGAAATAGGGAGGTAAGTTGTGGCTGTGACTGTAGTCCCTGTGAGAGATGGTGGGAGCTCAGACTAAGGCTATAGCAGAGAAGAATGAAGGGGAGAAGAGGATAGAATAAAGCTAGACGGGTGGTAGAATGGACAAGATGAGTGACGGGTTAGAGGTAGGAAGGGAGGGAGAAAGAGCAGCTGCAGATGAATCTCAGGCATCAAACAGATCCATAGGGGCACCATTTATTGGGATCCATAGGGGCACCAGGTATTGAGTTGAGAAGCCTGGAGGAGGTGCAGACTGGGGCACACAGGAGTGGCTAGAAATCAGAGATCCTTGTGGGCACGTTCATTTAAGATGCAGGAGGGTAGGTGTTAAGTAAGCATCTATATTGACAATTCTAAAGCTTAAAAAATAGGTCTGGACTTGGAGTGACATTTACTAAAGCCCTCCAAGGAGGCCCTTCGTGTTAGCCCTTTCCTCTCAGATGCTGGCACTCCTCTGCAGGTGAAAAGTCAGACCCCATCACGACCTCAACCACCCTGACTAAAGATTTCACTGTTTGATCCTTCGCCCTACTACCAACTTTGACTATTCTTTTGTCCTGCCCTTGACACCAGAACAGCATCTGGACCTGGGTGCAACTTTTTTGTTGGTTTAAATCAGGCAGTATCTCTAAAGATGTTCAGAGCCTTTAACTTACAGAGGTTTCTTGCATGGGATTTCGGCAGGGGGAGATTTGCATCTGTACAGAACATGCTAAACATCCTTGTGGCTTACAGTGAAGTAATATCTATTTATTGTGGTTGATTTTATAGCAAATATGATTGGAATATTTACTGATTATTTCTTAGAACTGGATGAAAATAACGGGATAGACCAAGTGAATTGCAGCAACTAAACATGCTAACAACAAGGAGGAAAGATATGTAGATTATAGAAAATTGTAAATTGTGACCATGCAAAGAAGGGGTTTCCCTGTAGCCTGAAGACCTGACACACAGCTAAATGGGGCCAAGATTAATCATGTCTTGATCTTATACATAAGCCAAAGGATCTTTTTCAAAGATCGTGCCTATTGAAGCAGCAAAGACTTTTCTGCAGGTTATATACCATAATGAGCGCCAGGCATTTAATGAGAGACAAGTGCTATGGTAACCTTCAGCATCTAATCTGAAAAAGAAGTGAGCCTGCTTGCTCCACAAAATGAGGCCCCGATTCAGCCCACAAGATGAAGAGAACTCACACATTTTTAGATGCTCTGGTGCAGGCAAACTCAAATACTCTGGGAAAGGGGAAAGGCTTTTGTTTGTGTGTTTTTATTTTCATAATTAGTTAACAATTTTACATTCTCCTTGCCACTGCAGGCAGCAGGCCCACTTCTAAAGGCAGTAAAATAAAAACAGCGTTAAGGAACAAACCAGCCTAAGGCGCTTTATGGAGCTTCCCAAAAGTCTCTAGGAAGAATATACAGGTGGTCCCCAACTTGCGATGGTTCAACTTATTTTTTGACTTTACGATGTTGCAAAAGCGATACACATTGGGTTGAAACCATACTTTGAATTTTGAATTTTGATCATTTCCCAGGCTAGCGATATGCGCTGCGATAATCTCGTGATGCTGGGCAGTGGCGGCAGCCGCAGCTCCCAGTCAGCCACGCGATCACGAGGGTGAACAACCGATACACTTAGAACCGTGCTGTCCCCACACAACCATTCTGTTTGTCACTTTCAGTTCAGTATGCAATAAATTACATGAGAGAGTCAACACTTTATTATAAAATAGGCTTTGTGTTAGATGATTTGGCCAACTGTGGGCTAATGTGAGTGTTCTGAGCACGTTTAAGGTAGGCTAGGTTAAGCTATGTTGTTCGGTAGGTTAGGTGTATTAAATGCATTGCCAGCTTACGATGGGTTTATCAGGACGTAACCCCATCATAAGTTGAGGAAGATCCGTACAGCATCCTAAGGAACTTGGCTTCCATCTCTGTCATGATGGCTGTCTTAGATGAGGGTAATTGTCTGGCCAAAAAATATCACCAGCGTGAAAGAACAAGCGTCAACTCACCCTGGTTCCTTGTTTTCCAGCCCCCAGAAGTCTCTCATCTAAGGATTTATGTTGTGTCAGGTCCTACTTCGATAAGCAGTAGGAAGTTCCAGTATGCAAGCCTGACCCTCCTTCCTCCATTATGGCCCCCACTAACAGGATGCTGCCTCGTGTCCTGGACCTCGCTGCAAATTCCTGCCCCACTCGCTGCTTCTGGCTTCCTCTTGCAATCCCAAGAGACAGAAGGCGGCAGGGGCAGGAAGGGAATGAGCAGGGTCTCCGAGGCTGAAACCCTTTAGATGCCTGAGCCCCAGTTGGTTTGCCATGGGTCTGCCTTTCTGGGTAGGAAGAGGGGGAACCTCCCAGCTCCCTCCAAATGTTCCTTCCTTAAACCTGTGGCAGCACAAAACAAGCCACTTCATTGTGTTCTTGGATATAAATACTGATTCTAGGTGGTGTTAACATTCTGTTCATAAAAGAATGTAACATATTTCTCCCACACCATATTAGGCTGATATGCTGTTTGGCCAAGAGAAGTACAGATTGCTTGGCTTCTGCGGGAAAATGTGGACATTTAAATGCATGCAGCCTTCGGAAGTCTGAGGAGCAGTCTCCGAATAGTAACCAGGGCCCTTCCTTGGCTCCAGCTCTTCCCTCCTCCATCCAGTCTCTCCTTTCCCAACTCCATTGTTTGCTTATCGCATTGGCATTTCTAATCACTTGTAATTTACTAAGACGCTTTCTTAGAATTAGATCTTGTTTCTCAAGGACCTGGAAATGGGGGCATTTGCTCTCTTCCAGGAGGGCCCGGGCCAATGTTTTTAGCTTTCTTCCCCTGGGGGAAAGAATTTGGGAGGTCCTGCTCTTCTCTTTTCTTTTTCACCCTCTGCGTGGGAGGGAAGGGCAAAGGCTTCAGACCAGAGGTGGTCCCTCCAAGCATTCCACCCAGGCCCAGACCAAGCCCAGGACTCAGATGTGCTGGCTGCCTTGGCAAGGCAAATTCCCCACATTCCACAAGAGCTCTTGAGGGGGAAATAGAACTAATGAGAAAGTGGAATTCTTGATGTGTCTGCGTGTTCACTCGGGTGCCAGCACATCTCACACAGACAGGTCCTCAGCCAGTATTTCGTAAGAGAGTGGTGGAGCCCATTTCCAGATGTGTGGGAGAGCCGCCTGTGACAGAAGTGCTGTCAGGAGAGCCAGCGCCCTCTGCTGTCCTGGCCAGGAAGCACCAGGACGGTGGGGAAGAACCGGGGGGTTCAGGAAAGCTGGCGGCTCTGTTATAATCCACAGCAGACCCATGCTGGTACGTTGGGGGCCTGCAGCTCCTTGCTTTTCAAACGTTGAGTCTGCAAGGGGCCAGATTTCCTCAGTCTAGCTGACTCTATGTTTTCTGGTTGTGAACGAGCCAGAAGTGAAGAGGATTTATAATAAAACCTCCGCTTCCCGCAGCATCCGCTGGTCTCTTTCCCAAGAAGCTGAGGTACCAGTGGCGCTCTCTCCTGCCCGTGAACCTGGCCAGCAGGCCCAGGGGAGGCGAGACAATGAGGGCAGCTTGCCCAAGAGGAGACCTCCTGCCGATTAGCAGCCCTCTGGCCACACCCTTGCCTGGGAATGCGGCTCCCAGAGGCCTTGCTGGCTCCAAGGTTTCCAGCCAAGGGGAAGTTGCAACTGCTCCCACTCAGGCATACTGGCATCTCCAAGGGGCCTCTGGAGCTGGCACAACCGAAAGACTGGGTCAGTTTACAAGCTGAGACCGAGCTGCCGCCCCCTCTGCCCCACTGCCTGCCAAGACAGCAGCACAGCAGTGGGTCCCGGGCCATGTCCACAGCCTGCCTGGCTTGCTGCTGCAGGAGTGAGTGCGGGTGTGTGTGTGGGCGGGGGTGTGTGTGTGTGTGTGTGTGTGTGTGTGTGTGTGTGTTGGTGAAGGATGGAGTTGGAGATAATTCAGATAGGAGGCGGCGGCGGGCTGGTGAACCAACTGCTTGGACAACCTTGCAGTTTGCAAAAAGGCATAAGACAATCAGTTTTTGTTTTTTGGAAAGTTTTAATTTTTTTTTTTGTTAAACCGATCTCTTCCTTGCTGGGAGAAGAAAAACCCAACCCGCCCAACAAACCCCTACCAACAACGCCCTTCTCTCTCTGGGACCAATTTCCAGACTGCACAGCAGTCCTGACAAGGTCAACAAGCCGGAGCTGTAAGCAGAAGATCTTTATCTGTGTGGGAAATAGGAAAATCATTTGACTGATAAAAGGAAATACAACGAATAGCATCTAAATTCCTGGCTGCGTTCCCCTGGGCCCCTCCTCTGCTGGAGAAAGTGCGAGGGGCAGGAACACATGTGCTGCTCCAGCATGTTTAAAAATAGCACACAGCACACAGCCCTTTCTTACCTTCCAGAAAGACTTCATTACCAGATCTTCAGCCCTGAGCCTACAGAGCTGCTGCCGGCACTTTCTTCTGCCTGCACTGGGTTTTTCTTTTTTGGAAGCATTCAGGCCGAGCATGTGATGCATTTTACTAGTTTCAATCAAGGCATCTCTGGGCTCCCGTTGAAAGTCCATTGTATTTAACGGGGTGTTAACTCTGTTTATGCTCCGGGACTTGGGCAGTAATTTTACACTCTGCAAAACTAGCATCTTGAACCCAAAGCGGCGTGCTCTCTCCCCATCCCCACCCCAGGGGGCGTCAGTCCCCAGGCACCTCTGGCCCTGACTCCCAGCCTTTCTCCAGCTCAGGTGGCCAGAGGAAGCCTGTAGGTGGAAACCCAGAGTGTGCAACCACTGCTACCGCTTGTTAGCATTGGTGTGACTGGAGGCAGGTCTCTTCATCTCTCAGAGACTCATTGTTCTCATCTGTAAATGGGGATTTTAATCTGCCCTAGGTACCTCGAAAGGCTGTAGATTTACAACAATGTCATAGTGGAAAAACCTTCGTCTGGGTACTACAAAGACACTTGTTCTATTTCTCCCAACCAGGCCACTTCCGCATCACCTCGGAAGCCATTTAACGTCTCCACACCATCTCTCCACTACATCCTGGGGGTTTGGATTGACGGTGAGGCCCACTGATAAGCCTGTGTCTTCACTGCGCTCCAGTGACTTTCTGAATCCATTATTCCTTCTACATTTATTAGTGGGCACCTACTGTCAGGAAGAAGCTGCCTCTTCTCCCCATTTATTTATTCATAGGTCCTGGCCCTAAAATGTGCTGAATAACAAAAAGACTAGATGATCCTTTCTAGCTCTGAATCTCTGGGTCTGGATCAAAATAATGGAAGGACATGTGGTTTCTAATAAACTGTGAAGTTCTGGTGAATTATGTCTTGGATTATTCCCACCTGATCTAAAAACTGGATTCTTAGGGACCTTCCAGAGTCCCCAATGCTCAAACACCATCTGGACCTTGGCGTTCTCTCCCCAGGAGCTCGGCCTTCCCTCCTGCATGTCAACAGCTCGGCTCTGAATCTCCAGGCCCCTCCTCTCTGGAGTTCCTGATCTCTAATTTCAGCTCCCTCTGGCCATCTCCATCTGGCATTCTGCAGAGTCCTCAAACTCAATTTGTCAAAAATTAATACATAGTCTCCCCAAAACCACATTTTTTCCTATATCTGCCAGCTCAGTTAAGAACACCACTGCCCACTCAAGCTAGAGAACCTGAAATCATTCTACACACCTCTCCCTTGATCTTCACCCTGCTTCCCCCACTACCCCCCACATCCCCTCATTCACAGAAACCCCCCATTCAGCCATCCCCAAGCCAGGCCTTTGTAAGGTCCTCAGCATTCAGCTCTCCTCTGGGCTCCCACAATAGCCCATTGGTTTGGTTTTTTTTCTTGATTAGCTAGTTCTACAGTAGCTCTTAACTGGCCTTAGTACCTCAGGTCTCCCATTTGTCCCCTCCCCACCCCCTATCTGTCCTGCACACCACTACAAGAGCAAGCTTTCTAAAATGCAAGTCTGATCTTGCAAATATCACAAGATTTTAAATATTTGTTTTAATTTTATTTTAAATAATTGTTCTGATTGCTTTCACTTTTATTACCTCATTTAAGCCTTGTGATAATTCTACGTGATAAACATTATCCTCCCCGTTTTACAGATGAAACTGAGATTTGCTAGGTTAAAGGACCCAAGGCCACATAACTATTACACCTTGCAAAACCAGGATTTGAACTTGGGTCTGTCTTCTACTGCAAAACCCATGTTCAAAAGTCTATAAGGTAGCCAGGGCAGTGCCTGGCACACAGCAGGTAGACCAATGTTTTTCCCTTTCATTTCCCCTTTTTACAGACTTCAATCTCTTTAGCAAGGGACAAAGGTATATGTCTCCAAAAGTGTCTCCTGTCACTCCCTGTGTCCCACATCACCACCACGCATCAGGCCACATCAGATCACTTGCTGTCTTCCAAACCCATTCTGTTCCTTCTTCTTTTTATTTTTTTTTTGGTGAGGAAGATCAGCCCTGAGCTAGCATCCATGCCAATCCTCCTCTTTTTGCTGCGGAAGACTGGCCCTGAGCTACCATCCGTGCCTATCTTCCTCCACTTTATGTGGGACGCCGCCACAGCATGGCCGGAGAAGCCGTGCGTCGGTGCGCTACCGGATCCGAACCCAGGCCACCAGCAGCGAAGCACGCACACTTAACTGCTACGCCACAGGGCCAGCCCCTCACTCTGTTCCTTCTTAACTCTGCTTTTGTGAAATCCTTTTTCTCACTGCTTGGCAAGACTTTGCTTTCTTTATCCATCCTCATCTGCAAGCACCAAGCCAGATAGCGCCTACTCTGGGAGGCTTTTTCTGATCCCCAAACACAGAATTTGTGGCTCCAACATCTCTTTTGCCAGCACCGCTTGTTATTTATGCCTATCTGGATGCTGATCATATTGGAGTGTGGTTATTCAGGCCTTGTCTCTTCCCATCTTTGTATCCTCAGTGCCTGGCATCATGCCTGGGACAGAGTAGGCACTCAATAGCAGTTTGTGGAATGTAGTTCAATCCCTCATCTTTCCTTATGACTAATGTTTAATTTCATTCGTTTTGTAAAGGTTAGAATGTCTCCAAAGAACCATTTGCATCACTTCCGTTCTCTCTGACTCCCATGCCCACCTCCTCATTGATCTACTCTTGTCAAGGTCACCAGAGACCTCAGTGTACTAGATCCCCAAACACTTCCTCGTCCTCATCCTCCCAAGCTCTCAGCAGCACCAGGCACTGTCACCCCTCCCTTCTTAAGTCACTCTTTCCTCTTGGCTTCTGGGCATCACAGTCTGCTGTTTTCCTCTTGCCTTTCCAGGCTCTCCTGGTCCTCAGCTGACCCCCAGAAACGGAGGGCCTCAGGGCTCCGTCCTTGGCTTCATGCTCTTCTCTCTCTACATTCCTTTCCTGAATGGGCTTGTCTATTCCCATAGTTTATAATTTTTATTTATTTATTTTTTCCCCCAAAGCCCCAGTAGATAGTTGTACATCGTAGTTGCACATCCTTCTAGTTGCTGTATGTGGGACGCGGCCCCAGCACGGCGGGAGAAGCGGTGCGTCGGTGTGCGACCGGGATCCGAACCCCGGGCAGCCAGCAGTGGAGCGCGCACACTTAACTGCTAAGCCACGGGGCCGGCCCTATTCCCGTAGTTTAAAATACTATCTCCATCTTCAGCTCTCAGCTCCAAATTCAAATATTTAATAACCTCAGTGATTTAATTTAATCACTTAGATGATTCTTAGGTATCTCAGGCTTTCAAAGCCTAACAATTGACTCTCAGTTTTATCCCCCAAACCTTTCCTCCCTCAGTCCTGCCCCCTTCAGTAAAAGGCACAAGAATCATGGACCCTCCCCCCTCCTTAGGATCTTGGGATCCACTTATCCAGGAAGAAGTTGTCTTGGAAGAGGGATCCAATCTAGGGATGTCTGAATATCATGGTTTCCTCCATCTGACTTGGGTTTGGAAAAAGACCAGATTCTTTAACCTGGTATCCAACGCCCAGCATGATCTGGTCGCAGCCTACCTTTCCAGCCCCATCCTTCGTCCTGCCCCTAGATCAGAAATGGGCAAACTACGGTCTGCAAGCCAAATCTGGCCCTCTACATGCTTTTGTACAGCTTATAAGCAAAGAATGATTTTTATATTTTTAAATGGTTGAAAAAATCAAAAGAAGAATATTCTGTGACCCACAAAAATTATATGAAATTCAAATTTCAGTGTTTGTAAATAAAGTTGTGTTGGAACACAGCCATGCTCCTTTGTCTACTTATTATCTATGCTTTCTTTCCAGCTACAATGGCAGAGTTGAGTAGTTGTAACAGAGGACTCACGACCTGCAAATCCTAAAATGCTTGTTCTCTGGCCTTCTACAGAAAAAGTCTGCCTACCTCTTGCTATGGTCTGAATATTTGCATCCCCCTAAATTCCTAGGTTGAAATCCTAACCCCCAACGTGATGGTGTTAGAAGTTGGGGCCTTTGAGATGCCATTAGGTCATGAGAGTGGAGCCCTCAGGAACGGGATTAGGATCTGTGCCTTTATAAAAAAGACCCAGAGAACATCTCTCACCCTTTCTGCCATGTGAGGACATAGCAAAAAGACGCCATCTATGAAACAGGAAGTGGGCTGTCATCAGATACCAAATCGGCCATTGCCTTGATCCTAGACTTCCCAGTCTCCAGAAGTGTGAGAAATAAATTTCTGTTGTTTATAAGCCACCCAGTCTCGGGTATTTTGTTATGGCAGCCTGAATGGACTAAGACACATTTGCTCTAGATAAATCAAGCCATCCCCTGTCCCTTAAACATACCTTGCAAACTCCCAGTTTTGCACTCATTGCTCTCTGTTCCTCTCTGTCCAAATCCTACCTGCCTTCAGGCCTTGCCAATCAAGCATCTTCTAGAATCTTCCATGTCTGCTCCACCCAAGGATTTCTCATCCTTCTCTAAACCCCTCAAGTAACACATGAAGTCAGTGGACTTAGCCCCCAGGGCCTTGTACTGACTGCTAGCTTTCCTGGTGCACATGTCATGTGTCCTTTCCAGATTGGGAGCAAAGAGAGGACTGGGTGGTGTCTTGTTCGTCTTGTATCCTGGGGACCAGACAATGCCTAGCAACATGGTGAGTGCTTAGATAGTGTCCATACACTCCTTTCTGAGTGGTCTCATCTATCCTGACAGTCCCCTACTTAAGTCTGAGAAAGAGCTGTCCATTTATTTACTTAGGTATTCTATTTTTAAGGAAGATGCAAATTTTATCCAATTTCCCTCTAGTTTATCTCCATGAGGCACTGAAGACAGGCATAGATAAGTTGCAAGCTTTACGGGAGGAGGGCGGGCAGTGAGGCAGAAAAGGCCCTGGGGTTCCAATCTCAGCTCAGCCACTGACCATCAGTTTTGCTATTTCACCTCTCCTTCCTCAGTTTTATCATCTGTAACTGTTGAGTGAAAATTGGATATCTGCTTGAGCAAAGGATTCCCTAAAATCTCTTCTAGTTCCAAAACCTAAGGATCCTGTTTTTTCTAAAAGCCCTCAGCGCAGTGAAAACTCCCAAGCTCACCTCCCAGGAGAGGCAGCCACAGCAGCCTGATCCAGCCTCCCTTGAGCACCAGCCTTGCGAGAGGCCCCTTTATGTTGGTTCCTCATTTCGCAGCACAGCGACTCTGAGGGGGCGGCGCTATTAGCTCCATTTGGCAGACCAGGAAATGAGACCCAAAGAGGATTTGCTGGAGCAGGGCCAGCACGTCGCATGACTCCAGGGGTGCCACTCACACCATGGCCTGTGCGATGGTGCTCCCTGGGATCGTCACACATCAGTGAGTCTCAAACCCAAATGTCTGAATCACCTGGGGATCTTGTTAAAACAGATTTTGATTCAGTCACTCTGCGGCGGGGCCCAAGATTCTGTATTTCTAACAAGCTCCCAGGTGACATGGATGCTGCTGGTCTCTGGATCCCATTTTGAACAGCAAGGTAGTGTCCAACCTGTGCAGCTGTACATGGCAGCCCTGCCAAGCACACAACTCAAAAGCAGCAGAGCCAGGACTTAAATTTAAATCTTTTGATTCAAAGTCCAGTGCACTCTATGCTGAGCCAGGACTTTGCAAAAAGCACCTCCACTCTGGACATGTGGGTCCCTGGAGACCTAGAGAAAGTTGGATAAGGAAAGACTCACTAAAGAGAAATGAAGTGCTGCTCTGCTGCCAGGAGCCCTCAGCCAGGCCCCTTTTGGAGCAGGCACAGGTAAATGTTTGCATAGGTGTGGGAGCCCTGTGGGAACAAGAAGACGCCAAGGGACCACACGCCTAGACTACTGGCCATCTGGGGCCGGGAGGAATGAGGAAAGGCAGCTGGGCTCCCGTCAGCAGCTCCCAGGGCGGCTAATGAGCAGGGCGTTCTTCCGTGCAGGTGCTGAGAAGTGGGATGCTGCTTGCAAGGAGAGAGGGGTGTTGAGCTGCAGCCTGGGCGGCCTTAATTCCCGGGATCCTCCCTGCCACAGCTGAGCTGGCTCAGGGCCTGTTTCTGTTTGCTTGGAACAGTCTGACATTTTGCAAGGAACCCTTTGCATGCGGGTGCTCCTTCTGGCCTCTCAAGGGTAATTGCCCGAGAAACACAGGTGCACCCTGCTGGGGCTGGAGTCTCAGTCTGGGAAATCAACATGACATAATATACTGGGGAAAGCTTTGTAAACTATAGAGAGCTGCGTACATGCCAGGAGTCATGGAGAGGGAGGCGGGCCTGCAGTGAGGTACAGCGTGGAGGGGCGTTGGAGGGCAATGGTGAAAGAAGGGCTTCTGTGGGCGAGGCCTGGGGGCCTTGGGGAAAACTGGCAGCACACAGCTGGGTGTACAGACAGGGGAGAAGATAGAGGCAGCAGCACATTTGCAGGAGGGGACCTGGGGTTAAAAGCCAGCCCTGTCACTCACCAGCTTCAGGCAAGTATCTCTAGTTCCAAGAGCCTCCATGGCTTCCTGTGTACACAGGGGTAATGAAACAATAGGGACCGGGACATCTCTGCCAGGTCGTTGTGGGGTTTAAGTGCCTAGCACAGTGTATGTGAGTTGACTCTGAGCCTTGGGGTCGTGTGGCAGACCAATGAGCACTGAGCAGAGGCTGTGAGCCCCTCCTTGGCCATGGAGTCCTGGACTGGCCTTGATCTATGCCTTCCTCTTGCAGGGCCTCGGTTCCCCACGTGCATGGCAGGGAGGTCTGGAGTGAACAGCCCACAAAGTGCCTTTCTAGCCCCGGTCCTGTGCTCCAGACAGCCGCAGGTTTTGGCCAGCAAGGCCTGAATAGGGATGTTTACTCTGAGGCTTTGCCCTCTCTGATACGGCTGAAGCTGGCAGAGCTTTCCAGGGCGAAGTCACCTCTGCTGGGGCCGGTTCCTGAAGCCAGTGACCTCTCAGAAGTATCTCCTCTCCAGGCAGGGGCTCAAGGCTGCCCAGTCACCAGATGCCCAGCTAGATGGAGCGAGAACCTTGCAGGGCTGTGTCTGGGCAGCATGGTGAGCCCAGTGGGCGTGGTCTTAAGGCTCTGCTTCACTCTCTCTGCTCCCATGTCCACAGGCAAGAGAACCAGGGAGACACACTGGCCTCTGCACCCTTACCATGTTCCAGAAACTCAGGGCAGTCATGCCGGATTCACCAGCTAGAGAAATGTGGTAGCAGTAAGGATATAAACCAGGCTGTGGACTGCAGGGCCTGTAGCGTGAGAGGGTAGGTCCATGGAGAACAACACAAACAGGGAGACCAAGGGTCAGAAGTAGAACTTGCTCAGGGTTGCATGGGAGTAGATGGCAGAGCCAGACCTGCAGCTGGCACTGTATCTTCTTTCTGCCACCTATTTAGCTGCATTTCAAAATGCAATAGTTTCCCTTCTGATTCTCTCTCCCAGGATGGCCCTTCTGAGATTGAAAGCCAATGCACCTGTCCCCTGGCGTCTGCTGGCTGCCGGGATAAACATCCCCAGTTTCTTCAACCATTTTTGTCCCCCACCTAGGGTTGCTAGATTTAGTAAAAGATAATATTAATTAATTGGTTATTTAATTAACACAGGACACAGTTAAATTTGAATTTCAGATAATAATGAATAACTTTTTAGTATAAGTACATCCTATGCAATATTGGGGACAAGCTTAAACTGAGAAATTATGTTGTTTCTCTGAGATTAAAATTTAACTGGGTGTCCTGTATTTTATCTAGTAACCCTACCCACACCCCACCTCCCCATCCGGGCTAACTCCTCTCTGGGAAGTGCTGGAGAAGGTTCAAGAACGTCACAGGGTCTCAAGTTTGAGTCAGGGTGTCTTTAATGGGCAGCTCTAACCACTCCACCGCCCTGCCTCCACTCTCACCGCAGGCTCCCCGCCCTTTGGCCAGTGGTTGCTTTGTGATGGAGCCGGCAGCGTTGCCTCTCCCCCAGGGTCCAGCTGGAGGCACGTTCTAGCGGCGGTTGTGTTGACTGTCTCCGCACTTCCACTCGGGCTCCGCTCCGAGCACCCGCCTGCCCTCTCGACTCCCTGTTCTCGCTATTCATTGCCGCCACCCTGTCTTTGCTGCGGAGCGCCTAGAACACGCTTTATTCTTCTCTGCCCCCCAGAGTGGCAGTTCTGCGAAGGCAGCCAAGGATTTGAGAAGGGCCGCTGAGGACGGAGCTCCCCGTCCGAGTGCCCCGCCTGCCACGCTGCGGCCGTGTGCTGATGTCACACCTGCAGAATGGGGGTGACCTGCTCCATGCCATAGGCAGTGCTCCGAGACCCTCCCGGAAGTGGTCTGCTGAAGAAGGAAGAGTTCTAAATTCCAGCCTTGGTCCCGGTGGGCGTTTGTTCAGTGCCCACTTTATGCCAGCAGAAAGCTATCTCAGCACCTGCACTCCAGGACAGCGGAGGAGGCACAGGCAGAGACGCCCCTTCCTGCTCGTCGGCCCCCTTCCCTTCCGTGAAGATAGAGGCCAGCCCGGCGCGCATGCGCACACGGCAGACCTTGCCCAGACACGTCCCTCGGCTGTGCCCGGTCCTGGGTTCCCCTGGGGCAGCCTGAATGAAGGATGTGTGTGAGAGGACTTATCAGGAAGCTATCCAAGGGGAAAAGAATGGCAGAGGAATAGGGAAGTGGGACAAGGAAGCAAACAGCAAGAAGCCAAGCTCGAGTGTGGCATCAGTGAACCAGCCCTGATGTCCTAGTGGTTAAGTTCAGCACGCTGTGCTTCGGCGGCCCTGGTTCTGTTCCCGGGTGCGGAACCATACTACTCGTCAATCAGTGGCCATGCCGTGGCTGCGGCTCACATAGAAGAACCAGAAGAACTAACAACTCTACACAACTATGAACCAGGGCTTTCGGGGGTAAAAAAAATGAAGAAAAAAGGAGGAAGATTGGGAACAGACGTTAGCTTAGGGTGAATCTTCCCCTGCCAAAAAAAAAGAAAAAAAAATGTTGTGGCATCAAGCAAAGTTGCCCAATCCCATGGGGAGCTCTGGGGATCAGGGGCAAGAGAGCTAGAGTATTGATACCTTCACACTGCCAGTCCTTGGGGGATGTAAATTTCCAGGCACTTCCTGTTCTGGGTGGGTGCAGGCAGAGTGGTTCTGGCAATCTGGTGCTGTCAGTCCTCCAACAGAGAGAGGGTGTGAGGGGAAGGCGGGGAAAAGGCTGGGGGGGAAAAAAGCAGGGAAGTGGGGGAGGAGGGCTAGTGTTGGGTGTGTGTGGGGGCAGTGGGGGAAGGGCCCACCCAAAGCCCACCTCTGTGAGTCTGTTTCCCTCAGAAAAAAGCTTCCCTAAGAAAGCAAGTAACACACAGCACACACGCTCCACCCCTGCAGTCTCCAGTTCCAAAGCTATTTATGTATTACTCTAACAACAATAAGACCATTGTGCACGCTTCCTGACTAATTGCTCAGTGTGGCCTGGAGGAGAGAGGGGCAGGTCCAAGGGCTGAGGGCCCATCTTAGGCCAAGAACTAAGGCTGGGCCACCTGGCTAGGTCAGGTATAGGAAAGACCCTGACTCCTAGGCCAGGCCAGGCGGCAGCCCCACCTCTAACTCAGATGGCCCCCGGGGGTTCTGCTGCATCATGGCCAAGGCCTGCTTCTGGCTAGAGCTGCAGAAAGCTAAGGACTGCCTGGTACTTCCTGACCCCCACTGTGCTCCAGATCCCGCGCTAGGCCCTTTGCACACCTCATTTCATTTCCTCTCATCCCAACCGCACGATGTAGCTACTGTGAGCCCATTTATTCGGATAAGGAAGCTGAGGCTCAGAGAGACTAAGTGGCTGATCGGAATGTACACGG